GCCCGAGTCCAAGGGGGCAGGCGGACAGGCAGCTCCCTGGGGACAACATTACCTCGGTCACTGCGGCGACTTTAAAAATAAGTTCGGCCACAGAGGGCCTGTTGCCCTTTCTTCTCTGCTCGGATCCCGCTCAGATGCTGCTGTTCCTGCTGACGTGGAGCTGGGGGAAGGCTGGTGACTCAGCTCTTGTCCCCAGACTGCAGCAGTAGTGAGCTGCCTCCAGCCTCTGAGCCCTCGGAGCAGGGTGCCTGCTCAGGAAAGGAGGCGAGGCGGTCAGGACACCCAGGGGACAGCCTGTCCTCTCGGGTAGGTGGCCTGGCCAGGTGTCCTGGCAGCCCTGGGGGTGAGGCACCACCACTTGCTGCTTTGAGGCTGGCTGGGTACCGGGCCGGCCCCTCCTTCGAGGCCCCTGTGGGACTCTGGAGCTCCTAGGAGGGCAAGAGCATTTCTTTGTTTGTTTTTTCCCCATCAGCTGGGGTGCAGGAAGGAAATCCTGACACCATCTCTATACCTCTAGCCTCAGCTGGCGGCCAGCGGGCTGGGGACTCAAGTCCCTTCCAAAGCCCTGTTCTGGGGGCTGGGGTCGGAACGAACTGTGTGAAGAGGGAACACATCAGGGATATAGGATGAGCCGTTGCCTTCCTCCTCCCCCTTCCTAGCTGGGTGATCACTCGCCAAGCCCATGGTGGGGACCCAGGCATCTGAACCTGCCAGGACGTGCCAGAGGCCCCGAGTTCAGCTGGTGAGGAATCACCTTGGAGGGTCACAGCTTCTGAACAATCTTCTACAGCCCGCCCCTCCCCTGCTCCGTGTTAGCAGCCACCGCCCCTGCCCTGCCTTGGCTCAGGTGGTCCCACTGGCTTTCATGTCCCTGCAGGACAATTTATTTATTTATTTATTTTTTAAAGATTTTATTTATTTATTTGAGACAGAGAGCATGAGAGGGAGGGGGGTCAGAGGGAGAAGCAGACTCCCTGCCGAGCAGGGAGCCCGATGCGGGACTCAATCCCGGGACTCCAGGATCATGACCTGAGCCGAAGGCAGTTGCTTAACCAACTGAGCCACCCAGGCGCCCCCTGCAGGAAAATTTACAAGTGAAACGGTAAATGGGAGGGCCAGGCAGGGCTGCAGGCCCCCTCGGAGCCAGGCCACGGGAGCTGCAAGCTGCTGGGGTCCTGAGCATCTGTCAGCGGGGCTGGGGGGTCCGGGGCGGGGCAGGGGCGGGAGGCCTGCAGCCAGGGAGCAGGGCGCTTGCCTGGGTCCTGCCTGCCAGCAGCTTCCTTCTGTGACTCGAAAGCATGAGTTTAGAAGAGTAATACTTTGTTTAAAAAGCTCCCTGCCTCAGAGATAAGGCCCGGGCTGCTGTGGTCAGAGTTTGCTGTAAATTTTCTGAACAAAGCAGGCTGGGGCGATAGCTGGGGAGTCTGGGGAACAGATTAATCATGTGCTAAGAAAACGGCATTCCCCTTTGAAGTGAAACCTTATGGTTGCATTTAAGCAGCCAGGCAGATGGTGTAAGGGTGTTCTGTGGCCTACACACTGATTAAATGTCAGCTGTACCCAAAGACAGGCTTCACGGGAAGATTCACAATCCGGCAGCCTGGGAGACTCGGTGGTCGGACTCCAGCGGTGTCACAGGGCCATATAAAGGGAGACGGGGTCCTGGCACTTTGGTCTGGGTGCAGATGGTGCCCTGCTTGTCATCCTGAATGCTGGGGCTGGGGCAGGTCTGCGTGGTGGCTGGTGGGCATGCAGGGAGTCCGTGTGAGTTCTGAATGTCCCCCCGCCGCCCCCATGGGCTGATTCCCCGTCAGGAGCCACCGTGACCCGGCCATCCTGCGAAGGAAACTGAACTTTGTCATTGCAACAGGGATCTGGCAGGTTCTTGGGGAGTCCTCCTTGTGTGCCTGGAGGCGAGGAAGCAACTGTCTCAAGGGGTCTCCTGGGGCCCCTGGGATGGTCGCTCTGATATTTAAGACAGAAATGACAGACAGGGAGCCAGCAGGGGGGACACCTTGGGGATGCAGCCCAGGCAGAGGGAACAGCTGAGGCAAATGTCCTGAGGCAGAAGGCAGTGTGAAGAAGTGGGCCAGTGAGTAGACCAGGTGGACAGGGGCCTGGGCATGTGGGACCTTGGCAGCCAAGGTAAGGAGTTTGCACTCGATTCTAAGTGTGAACGGGGCCACCAGAGGTGACATAATCTGATCTTTAAGCTTCACTGAGATCTGGATGGAGAGGAGTGAGAGTAGAAGCAGGCACCTCGGTGAGGAAGCTTTGCAGGAATGCAGGAGGGAGAGGGGGGCGTGGAGCGACCAGTTGTTCAATTCGGAGGTACTTTGTGAGCCGGTTGTTAAACACAACCATTATTAGAAATTTAATCACCTAGTACATAAAAAATATAATTAATATTTTGTGGAATGTATATAAAATACAAAATAAATTATATATAAATTATTGCTTAAAATGAAGTACCATGGAATTACCATATGATCCAGCAGGGTCACTTCTGGGTAAATGCCCAAAGGCATGAACGCGGGACTCAAAGAGACATGCGCACACCCAGGTTCCTAGCAGCATCATTCACAACAGCACAACAGCTTCCAAAAATGGAAGCAACCCAAGTGTCCATCGACGGATGAACGGATAAACAAAATGTGGTGTGTATGTACAATAGAAGAGCGGCCTTAAAAAGGAAGGAAATCCTGACACCCGCGACCACATGGATGAACCTTGAGGCCATTATGCGCAGTGAACTAAGCCAGGCACAAAAGGACAAACACTATGATTTCACTTGCGTGAGGTTCCCTGGAGCAGCCAAAGTCACAGAGACAGAAAGTAGAGTGGTGACTGCCGTGGGCCGTGGGAGCAGAGGGGGACACAGGGACTCCTGTTTGATGGAAATAGGAGCTTCAGTTTGGGAGGACGGCAACAGTCCTGGGAACGGTCGGGACTGATGGGTGCCCAACGGTGTGAGTGCGCTTGATGCCATTTTGCTGTACCCTTAGAAGTGGTTAAAGTGATAAATTTTATGTTATGCGTGTTTTTAGCACAATAAAAAGTGCATTGCCCTATTAGAAACAAATCATATTATAAAACGAAGTTATCTGTTAGATTTACATAATACAAATTACAAGTGATGACATTACAAACAAAGGTAATGAATACACAGAACTCACACTTCCTAAGTCTTTCAGTACATTTTAGTATATTCTCTGTGTGTTGGAGCTCAGCATCGCTTGTCCTACCTGCATGATAGAAATGCTACACGGTGACGGTTCCTTCCCGGAGCTTCCCTGCTGGGCCTTCGATGGTGTCACACTGCTAGCTCAAAATTGGCCAGGGTGAGGGTATTTACACCACAGAAATGGGCAAATGCTACAGAATAATCAGGTGGGTTTTTTTTTTTTTAACCCCCAGAATGCCGGTTGTTAAACATTAGGCAGCATGTACCACTGGAGGGGGGGCCTTGGACCTGAGTTGGGGGCACTTGAGGTCAGAAGCAGCCCGACCCGTAGATATTTTGGAGGTGGAAACTCACTGATGGCCTGGATGTGGGGGTGAGGGAAACAGGGGACCCAAGGGTGATGCCTAGATACTTGGCCTGAACCAAGTATCGGTGGATGGAGGGACCATTTACAAAGATGGCGGACTGAGGGAGCTTGGGGGCTGTGGAAGGTCGGGCAGCTGATGGATCCAAGGCTCTGGAGCTCAGGGAGGCCCTACTGTGCGCCAGGCCTGGGCAGGGCCAAGACCATGGGTGCCTATCCTGGTCTTTGAGGAAACAGATGGTCCACTTAACAGACTGTCCTGTCCAAAGGCCTAGGGCAGCCGGGCAAAGAGCCACTGTCCTCCCTCTGCTCCCCAGTCCCCACATGGAGCCCCGGTCATGGATACCGAGGTTGAGCCAGATGGCTGTTTCCGCCCATTGACTTCCTCCCTCCCTCTCTTTCCCAAGGCTCATCCCACCAGGGCCTGACCTGTGGGGTTTCTGTCCAGGCCTGCTCCTTCCCATTCCCAGAAAGGCTTAGAACTGGACTTCATATTAGACCTTTCTTGCCCATCCCTGGTCCTCAGGTGTTATTAAAACTTGCTGCTTGCCGTCGGGGTGTCCCCAGCCCCCCAGGTCCCCTCAGGACGGCCACCTGCCGGGCAGCGTTCCTTACCTACAGGAGATTGTGCAGCTCACACACATCTTTGGGAGGTGCGGATGGGGTCGAGGTCTATAGAGCGTTTGGGGGTCACCTTACAAAGGACCACACTCGAGGGGCTTAACACAGCAGAAAGGTCTTCTCTCGCGGTTCTAGAGGCCAGAAGCCCGAAATCAAGGTGTCAGCAGGGCCTCACTCCCTCTGAAGGCTCAAGGGAAGAAGCCTTCCTCTTCTCTTCCAGCCTCTGGGGTCCCAAGTGTCTCTGGCTTGTGGCCACATCCCTCCAATCTCTGCCTCTGACTTCACATGGCTTCTCTGTGTCTCCTTTTTGGCCTCTTACAGGGACACTTGTCATTGGATTTAGGGGCCACCCTGATCCAGAGTTATCTTATCTCCGGATCCTCACCTTAATTACATCTGCAGAGATCCTTATACCGAATTGGGTCCCATTCTGAGGTTCGGGTGGATGTGTGTTTTTGGAGAACCCACCACAGGTCTCATGGGGGAACCTAGGAGGTGGGTGGCCCCTCCAGTGTCCCCTCTAATCACACTTTCCCCTTGGGCCAGGCCTACAGTCTTGCCTTCCCCATGGCCTTGGAAGAGGGTACCACTGCAGAATGCGGACGCCTTGTGGTTCTCTTTTTCTTGCCAAATTTAAGCTCGCTTTCCTCTCTCTGCTGCTACTCACTTTACCTGCCCAGCGCCCCTGCCAGGACTGCCCTGTCCTAACCCCCCCTGCCCCCCCGCCCTGACTGTTCTGCCCTGAGAAGGGGCCTAGGGACCCCTCACCTGCCCATCAGGATCAGGCCTATGCTGCAGACTGGACGAAGCCATCAGAGGTGATCAAAGGCTGGGCTGAGACAGGGCTGGGTGCACGATTTCAGCGGGGAAAGAGAAGGCCGAGGAGCGGCCGGATTGTCTTCGAGTTTGGAGAAGGTGATTATTATGTGAAGGGTGGTGCCCAGCTGTTTCCCATCTCTCTGAAGACAGAAAAAAAAGAGGAAATAAATGATGTACAATTAGAGCAGTTGGTTAGATACAAGGGCGAACTTCCTGGCTGGGAGTGTGGCCAAGCGCTGGGTAGGGTTTCTGGAGGGCGCACGGGGAATCTCCTTACCTGGAGGTGTCAAGGCCTGGCAGCCATGGCCCCGGTGGTTAAACGGAAGGTGGGGGTATGGACCGGATGGGTTCTAGAGTGCAGTCATGCCAACATGCGGCACTTTCTGGCCGTGGAGGTCAGTTCCCTCCTGCCATTGTCCTTTAGGTTCCCACAGGGGAGCATTTTGGCAAGGCGTGCACCCTGGCTGGGCTCCCCGAGGAGATAAGCCCACGTCTGTTCAGCTCCACTGTGAATGGACATGAAGAATGCACAATAAGCTGACCCTATGCTAATCTGGTGGAACTCCATGCCCGCTCTCTGGGAGAACAATCGCATGGGTGTGTCTACACTCACCAGGTGCTTTTTATAAAAACACTGGAGAATAATGCTGTGGACCAGCATCTTCCCAGGGGCCTGGGTAGTTAGGCTGCCTCGTAGGGGCAGTGGACCACCAAACTCCCCAATACTGGGTGGACAGGTGGCCTAGAGGGCAGGGCCGTCAGGCAGGCCTAGGTGCTGGCTTTCCAATGTGACATGCCAGGGCCGCTGGGAAGGCCATCGGGGTGCCCTCCATGGCAGCCGTGACTCCCTTGTTGAAACCCGGGCTCCCAGGCAGAGGAGGGTGGGTGCACATCTGAAATGTCTGTGGTTTTGCAGTTCCATGTCCACAAACTCCCTTAGTTGAAAATAGTTCAAAATATCCAAAGCATGAGGGAGGGAGTGACTGCTTTTCTTAAAAAGAGAGGACTCAATTTCATCTACTTGATAAAGCCATCCAACCCAGTGTATTCTCAGAAAGAGGTGGGGAGTACCTGGGATGGCAGTCGGGCCTCATCATCCCCTGCCCATTTGGGATCTTTCCAGACTAGGGGTGTGGGGGCTAGGAGGGGAGTGGCAGTGATCAACCTGAGACCCAGGACCAGCTCTCAGGCACTCCCAGGCCTCACGCAGAGGACGGGCACCAGCGGGGAGGGTATATTCCCTTCCATGGACTCTCACTGGGCCTGACTTCGGGCAGAGGTTCTGGGTCTAAGATAATGAGGGGGACAGTAGGTTGGAGCCCAGCACCTAACTAGCAGGAGGAGCGGAAGGGAGGCCCCCTCCGCTGTGGGGACCAGCCTTGGAGGGCCCAGCCTGGGGGCTCCATCCTCTTGCTTCGCAAGTTCCAACCCGTCCTGTTGTCCCCAGCCTGGAGGATCTGCCTGCCTTCCTTGTAGGTGACAGAATTTACTCAGTGTTTGGAGGCGCACATGTAGAAACGGCTGTCTTGGAGGGCAAGACCAGGCCTGAGGTACAGCAGAGATGGGGAGCCCCCTTTCTCCCATTACGGAACTCCTTCCTTCAGATCCTAGGAAATATCGTCGCCTTACCAGGGGGAAAGACCGAGGTTTACGCTCTGCCACCAAGGTGCCCCCCTTATTGTGGAAGCTGGGGGTGGCACATTTCCCTGGCTCTTCTGGCAGGGGCGCTCCTTCCTTGCCCCACGCCCCCCCCCGCCCCCCGGCTGGCACCTTTTCTGTCACCTGGCTCGGAGGGTGCAGCAAGCGACCCCGGGGGTGGACGGGTAGGGATGGGGAGTCGCTGGGGGGGCGCCCCCCCCCGGGACCATGTGAGTCCTGCGGTCGCCCCTCGCTCCGCGGCTCCGGGCCCACAGGCGGGGGTCCCCCGGCCGGGCAGCTCGGGCGCTTAACCCTTGCAGGCGCTGAGCGCGGGAAGGCGGCGGCGGCGGCGGCGGCGGCGGCGGTGAACTTTGTTTGGCTGCGTAAATAAAACCTCCCGCAGGAGGAACCCTGCGCCCCAGGGAAGGGGAGGAATCTCTTCCCCCCTTGGCGCCGCCCCCGCGCCGCCGCCCGGCCCCCACATCCGCCCACATCTGGCCGCGGCGGGGCGTCCGGGGGGGAGGGGCCGAGCCGCGTCGGTCGCCGTCCCGGGGACGCGGGCCAGGCGGGGAGGAGCGGGGCGCCGAGTCGGGCGCCCAGGACTCGGCCTGTCCCCGCGGCGGCCGCTCGGGCCCCAGCGCCCCCCCGGCCCCCCCGCCGGGCCCCAGCCTTGACGGGCGGGCGGAGCAGCCAGTGCGAGCCGGGGAGGCCGGGCCGGGTGCGGGAACCTGATCCGCCCGGGCGGCGGGGGCGGGGCGGGGCGGGGGCGCGGGGAGCCGAGGCCCGGCGCCCGCCCGCCTCCCCCATTCATTCAGCCGAGCCCGGGGGCCGAGGGGCTCGGGCGGCCAGCTCTGCTCGGCGGGAGCGCGGGCGCAGGGCCCGGGCCGCCGGGGCGCTTCCTCGTCGCCGCCCTCCGCGCGCCGCGCCGCCCGCCAGCCACCATGTCCGACCCCGCGGTCAACGCGCAGCTGGACGGGATCATTTCGGACTTCGAAGGTGGGTGCCGGGCGCGCCGCGGGCGCGCGGAGGGGCGGGCGGGAACCCCCGAAGGGGCGCCGTCCCGCCGCGCGCCCCTGCCCCGCGCCCGCGTCGCCTACGTGGAGGACCCGGTTCGGGGGCCCGCGCGCCTTGGCGGCCCCCGCGCCGCCTCCCGGCTTCCTTCCTTTTATTGTATTTGCCGAGCGGCGACAGTCCTCCCGAGGGCTCGCGGGGCGCCCGCGGAACTGGCCGGGGCGCGCGGCTGCCTCGCGGCCGTCGCTCGCTCCCCTCCCTGCGGCGCTCCCCGTCGGCCCTCGGGCCCCCGCGGCCCTGCGGCGGGGCGGGGAGCCGGTCACCCGCCTCTGCGTCCTGCCCAGAGCGCGGCCGCCCTCCCCCACACGTTTCGGGGCCGGACCGAGCCGAATTCCGGCCGGGGAGGCCGCCGGGCGGACCCGGCTCCGGCCGGCGGGGTCTAGAGGGGGGCGCCCCTTGGGCCCCCATCCAGGCCCGGGGCACCCCCTTCCGCCTCCTGGAGTCGGGCGGCGCGGGGAAGGAGGGGCCTGCGGGCCGGTAGGGAGCGCGGTTTGGCCCCCTCCCCCCTTCGGGGTGTACAGAGTGCGCAGGGACTTGGGGGGCTCTTCCGTCCGAGCGCGCCGGGCTTCCCAGCCCTGAGCCTGTGTGCGTGTGTGCGCCTTCGTGCGTCCTCGTGACTGCCTGTAGCTCTGCGTCCTGGCGTCCCTGGGAGTAAATAAAGCGGCCGGGAGGGAAGCTCACACAATAGTCCGCTGCACTTCTGGGGCCGGAACTCTGAGGGGCGGGCCTGCCTCTGCTGGGACCTGGAGCCCCCGCCCCTCCGAGGGGCTCCCAGGCAGCCTTGGGCAGAGCCCTCTGGTGGGCCCGGCCTTGGGGCGGCTATGCTGGAAGGAGTCTCGGACGTCCAGGTGCCAGGCCCAGCCAGGAGGTCCTCTGACCCCCGGGGTGGGGGAGGGGGTGCAGCGCCAGGGCTGGGATCTGTGTGCCCCGAGCTCTACAGCATGCATGGTCTACCTGGGGTCAGCCGCTTCTGTGGGGCACTTCTGGGTGGATCCCAAGCCGCGCCGCAGCAGCTGTGATTCTGGGCTGGGCCTGCGCCGGCTTGGGCAGGGGTGTGGAGAGACTAGAGTGTTTGGGGTCTAGTGGCTGGCACACCCATGCAGAGGACACGCCTGCTCTTGGCTCAGTGGCCGGAGCACTTTTGTGATTCTGGCACTGAGCACCGAACAAGGGGAGTTCTGGTCTGCAGGGCTGTGTAGACCAGAAGCCCTGCTGTTCCGACGTGGATCATGTGCTCCTACTGGGGTCTCCCTACATCTCCTTCGTTCTGTTTCGCCTTTTCCGGGCCCAGAGCATGGCTCTCCTTTGAGACTCCCACTGTTGCTCTCAGGAGCCTTTCCTAAGTGTCCAAGGGTGAGAACCAGCCCGTCTGGAGACGGCTGCCCCCTTCAGGTCCCGCGCAGCGCGTGCACCCTCCCTGGGGCCTGTGGGAGTGAGGTTGGCTTGCGGTCCCGAAAGCCTTGGGCCGGCAGCGGGGTGTGTGGGGCAGGACAGGATTCCATGTAGCCCCGAGGCGGGGCGGGGGGAGATTTGGGGGTGGTGTGGTCCTATAGCTGTTCCAGTTCGCACCTCTGCCTCCGGGTCCCCATGTGTGACTCCATCCTGACCCCGATGGGCCCCTTGTGGAGATGTTGGAGGCCTCTGCCCTGGCTCCCAGGCGGCTTCTTGACCCTCTCATTTGGTTGGAGACAATGGCCTCATTGAGACCGTCCTGATGCGACCGTGGGCAGCCCTGTGGGTCCAGGGGGAGATTTCTCACTCTTAGGGAACCCCTGGTTCCCTGTGTGTATCGGTCATCCTGTTGTGTGCTCTGACAAGCTGAAAGGGCTCTAAAGGCAGAGGGATCGGACGTTAGAGTCCTTCGGGGCTTCGGGAGGAAGGATGTGTGAGCTCAGGGATCGGCATGGCCTCCCTAAGTGTCCCAGGCACTCCAAATGCACTTGGGTGTTGGGGGCTGGGCCTGGAACGGTGGGAGGTGGGGAAGGAGCCGTCAGCGAAGTCAGAGAAGGAGGACAGTGCACGACCTAGAGGAGCAGTGACAGATACAATGCAGCGGGGCCCAGGCAGGGAAAGGTCGCAGTGGAGGAGGCAGACCTTGGGCGAAAGTCAGAATTCAATTGCAGGAGGGAGGAGGAGAGCACTCAGGTCCCGGGCAGCAGGCAGAAGCGGGGGAGGCTGGAATGAGCTGGTCCATTGGAGAATGGGGCACAAGGAGGGGCCAGTTGGAGCGGATCAGAGGGCCAGGCCAGGCGTACCCTCTGGGAGCTGGGACTGTCCTGGGGAGGCAGCCGGAGTGGTGAGAGCAGAGCTGGAGGAGTTCTGGTCTGGGTCTGTGGGGCCGCCCACGTGGTGTCTCGGGGTTTGTGCAAGGTAGGACGAAAGGGGTTGGGGGGGAGACTGGCAGCCCCTCAGCTACTGCTGTGCCCCCAGAGTTCTGGGGCCCGCGGACACGGCCTGTCACAACACACGTGCTCATTGCTGAAGAACAGAAGCCCCAGGGGCCACCAGCAAAGCCTGGCAAGTTCTGAGCCACGGTGTTGCTGGGGGTGGTTTGCAATGCTTGCAGACTGGAATCCTGCAGGGGAGCCAGAGGGCCCTCGTCGGGTGTCTTTGGGAGGTTTGGAGCCTAGTGGGAGTATCCGAGCCAGGGTGGCATGCCCCGTAGGGCAGAGGGGAAGGCACCTGGGGTGGGGTGCAGGGCGGGTGTCCAGGCTGGAGCAGCGTGCCCCTGCAGGGCTGACAGGAAGCCGCCCCAGGTGGATGTGTGTGGGGTGTGTGGATCTGCTGATGCCCCACGTCCCGGGCACATCTGTCCCCTGCCCTGGGGAGCAGCCTTCTTGTTTTGACTCTGTCACGTTGTCGAGGAGGCATGGGGACTCAGCTTGCCCTCTCTCATGGACATGTCTGTCAGGTTCACTTCTCCCCCGGGCACTGAGAGGGTGGCAGTGGTCTTCATGGGCGTGAACGTCCCACACGGGCCTTGGCCTTCCCTTGCAGGACGACCTTGGGGCTCTGTGGAGAACCCCCCATGTAGGAGCAAGAAGAGAGTTTTGTATTTTGCTCATGTGATTTTTTTTTTTTTTTTTTTAGAGAGTTTTGATCCCCCCAGCCCCCCGGGAAGATGGGCCCGGAGGGATGACTCCTTCCCCGATCTCACCCTGGGTCGGTGGAGGCACGGAGCTGTTGGGCGGCATGTTCTTGGGTGAGAGCAGGCCAGATCTGTTCTCGTGAACGCTATTACAACTCTGGTCTTTGTGTAACAAAGCCCTTGCAGGGGCCAGCTGCTGCCCGCCTTCCTCAGCGCTGTCTGCTGGAACCGTAGTCGCATGGGGGGAAAGAATCCTGAAAGTCCTGGATGTCTGTGCAAACGCAGTCTGGCCCGGAACCTCGGCGCTCCGGTCCTGCAGAATCTGTCACGTACAGATTGCGCCTGCCTTTCGAGACCCTCTGCTGTCTCTTTGGAGGACCCTCCTAGAGCGGTCCTGGAGCTCCGGGCCCTGGAGAGCAGGCCGATGGGGCTGGGGGGTGGGGGCAGGGAGCGGGTCTCCTGGTGGGGTGAGGGGGGAAGGGACCAGGCGGACAAGCCCGCTCATCTGGGAGCCCAGACACCTCTGGGACAGGGGCTCCCTCGCCTGCTGGAGGCAGGTGCCCCTTTCCTCCCAGAAGGACAAGGCCTGTTGCTTGGTGATGGGTACAGACCTGTCCCTGATTAATGCCAGTGGGCCTCTTGGGTGATGCCTCCTGCTTTTCAGCCAGACGCAAGGCCCCTCGTGAGTACCAGCTCCCTGTCGTTGGCACCTTTGGGGCAGGAGGCGGGAGCCGTGGGCGTTGAGTTCACTCGGCTGGACTGGAGGAGCCGGGCCTGGGCGATTCGGCTGGTGCCTGTTCTGCAGCGATGAGGGGACAGTGGCCTGGTACTCTGTGTCCAGAACACGGGACTGGGCACACCCACGGCTTCGGTGTGGGGAGGAGAGCCGCCATGCGCGTGCGGGGTAGCAGAAGCCCCTCTGTCATGGGCTTCCGGGCCGGGCCGAGTGTCAGACCTGGGCTGGGAAGGTGGGGGCACATCTCACGCTGCCGGGCATCTGTCTAGAAAGGCTTTCCGGAGGACACGGGTCTCCAGGAAGGTTTGGAACAAGGCAGGTGGGCAGAGTTTGCATCCAGAGGGGGAGGGCCTTCCAGAGAGGTGACAGATGGGGCAACCGGGAGCCCGCGTGGTGCGGTGCTCACGAGGGTGAGCCCACTGCCGTCGAAAGCTGGGTGGCTCACGGGAAGTGGCTGAGCCTGAGCTTCAGTTTCTCCTCTCCGCGAGGGTTGTCCTGGGCTTTAGGTGGATGTGGCCGGCAGCACCGAGCACAGGGCCGCTCCCGGGAGCGTGGGGGGTGCTGTTGCCGCTCTTGGACCTGGGGGGTGGGGTGGGTATTTGCAAGGGG